GAAGAACGCCCGTAATTTGGCCTGGTTACAGGCGGGGCTCCGATTATATACATCTATGCTGTATACTTAGATATGGAAGGTGGCGTTGGGCATAAAACGTCGTGAGCGGGAATCGATTGGGTGGTATGGTGTACGTTTATTGATAATGTTGTCTGTTTTGGGGCAGAGGAGGCCTTTTTATAAAGAATTCATTCAAACCCCCCTTATGACAGGATGACAGGACAGTTTTAGGCAAAATCGGACATTCCTAGATTTCCGAGTTATTTCTTATGCTACTGAATACCACAGGTCAAGGCCTCTTGTTTCTGCGCGTTGCTCTATAAAAAACACGAATATAAACAATAAAACATTCAAATAAGTCTTTTCTGGAACCGGAAAATCGAATTTTGCGTTCATGAAGATCAGGTGGGGTCAGGTATGAGAAATTGCATAGTTTTCAGGAAACGAGGGGCGAATTCAGCCTTAAAAATCCTGATATGCAAGTTTGTTTTTTGCAAACCCTGGCAAACAACTTGCTCGAGAGTACATTTTTTATCCCATTTAGAAGAAAAGACAAAAAAATATATACAGAATGCCGCGACATGCTGTCACTTTTCTCTGCCACGCCTTGCAATAAAAACGTCGAGGTAATTTCCATCTGCAGTCGACCACAAACAGATACGTAAATTAGCAGCCGAAGGACTGTCACGCGAGTCGTTGGATAGTATTGTCAATACCGGTAAGACGAACTATTAATGATAGAAATCGGCAGAGCGGACCAAAACGGCCCACAAGTAAGCAAGACGACGGTTTAATTCGTCGAACACTGAAAAAGTATCACTATATGGCCGCTGAGGCCATTCACAGGGGACGCTTGGCGATGTTTATTCTGACTATAATTAGGAAAAGTGAGAAAATTGGAACTTCACCTGCAGCAGGCCACGGTCAAGACGGTTTTACGTAGGAAACTAATAAGAGGACGTTTTTTTATTTGCTAAGAACTGTACTGACGATGGGCAACCATTGTGGAGAAGCATTCGCATCCGTGATGAGGTCTTACTTTTAGGTAAGCCTGCGAAGGCCACTCAAGTGGTTTATGTGACGAGAGGGCACACAGCCGGCCTTAACCAAATCGAGGTTTTCCGCACCTGAGCCTCGAACCGGCGTTCTTTGCTCATCAAGTGTTAGTAAGTCCAACGTCCTACCAACTGGATCGCAGCTTCTTTACCCTGTAGGTTGGGGTCCGCGCGGTTTGGTTTAGACCCCAAATTTTGGCGAGCGCTTCCGTATGTCAAGAACGTTTCGGAAGCTGTCGGCCGCCTTCTCGCACCACTTGGGGTTGGAGTTGCACACTAACCGGAGGCAACCATCAGGCGTCAGATAATGAAGCAGAAAGATCCAATGCCACGACAAGAAAAGTTTGGAGTCGTTTATCCGATCTGGACAAAGCAACTACGTCAGAGAAACCGGACGACTGCTCCGAACGAGAATGGCCGAAGGCGCTGCAGCAGTGCCGAGAAATGGACCCAGCTCTCAAGTTGCGGCTCATTCGACGAGATCCGGCCACACATTCAAATTTGACGAGGCCGAAATTCTCGCAAAAGGTGACAACCGCGTGGGCCGGGAGCTACTGGAATCATGGTTTACTGGGCCCCAGTCCATCAACAAGTGTAACGACCTTCCCCTTTAATACTCATTGCTGAGACTTCGCCTAGGTGGAGCAATTAGCCACGCGGGGCGCACAGGTGAACACTGTTCCCAGCGCCAGGGTCAGTGGGTCAGATGGTCGAGCAATCATCACACCAACATCCAACACCTGGGGTGAAATTGCAGCAATTAACGACGCGAATGTCGGCCATAAAACAGCCATTAACCAAGCGCAACGATCCCTGATAAAGGGGGGAACCGTGAATATTCATAGGTATGCGGTAGCATGGCGACTGCATCCTATAAATACTGCAGCCCGTTGTGCATAAACAACCCGTATCCGCTATTGTCTCGGATGATGGGTTCGAGCAGGAATCCAAAACGTCGTGCGAATAATGCTCTTTTCCCAGCAATCGTGTCTCCTTCTTCACGACTGTTTCCTGGGGCTCGTCTCTTCGCTTCTATTAGCAGTGCGGCCATTGATCAGGTTACGGTACACGGTTGCCCAGCTGCGCTTTGGGGCTTAATGTAGGCCCCTTCCAGGGCAAAACGGAGACGTCTGTATTATGCCTTGCAATCAGGCCGGATGCACTACTACCGTCTGACTCTGGATGGTGTTGCATTTGTTTAGCGCGGTGTCAAGCTCAGCGATTAGAACTGTCTCAGCCCACAACTTTACGCGGTAGCCTCTTCAGCCCTCAAAGATAATCTTGAGAATCGGGCGAGTTCAAGTGGGCTCTGCGGACTGTCGTCTCCTCACAACCGTCGTGTAGTGTCCGCTACCGATATTGGGGCTGCAATTCTAACCATACGGTGGGCACCAAGAAGGTGCTATTTTTTTTGGGGGGGGGGGGGGCGCTCACCGACCGCGCTACGGAACTCGCTAGTCGCGTCATGCCTTGGGGCGTTCTCTAGAGCCCCGCCAACAGTCTCACAGCGGAGCGTTAGAGGCGCTGGACTTCTAAACAACCGGTCGCGTGATCGGGCTCCAGGTGTCCCACATCTCGGGATTGGGTATGACTGGCTGACGACGACTAATAAGCCAGAAATGGCCATTCCAGTCTCCTTTGTCTTTGTCGCTAATGTTATTCGATGCTCTTTTCATCAGGATCCCGATAAACGACGAAATAAGGAAGTTTGCCAAAAAGACTCAGCAGACTTACTACTGGCTTGCCCCACAAGCCAACGAACCAGCTCAGAGACATGCTGTGGACGATGTTGATCGCTATTTCTCACGTATCCAATGTAGGCGACAATATTTGGAGCATGAACCGTGGGTGGCCTCTAGCATAGTCGTGCGAACATTTCACACCAGCAAAGAACATGTCCGCTGAACTCTGGGGATGATCTCATCTACAAACCTCATCAGCGTTAGGGTTCAGTGGGAGAATCGAGGAGGGCAATAGAACAGGAGTAGCTGGAGGCCACTTCAGAGATTACTCTCCATGTCAAATACTCGAGGTAGTGAGATGTTCCTAGCGAGAAGATTCAACTTGAAGTACCGCAAAAGACTACCTGTCGAGAGATTTTTACTGCCAAGCTAGCCACTGCGTGCAGACGGTCGAACACCACCCTCGTCCTGCCTGAGTGGCGGACTGGCTATTTATTATTCCTTCCAAGTAATTCGTGGCTGTTTGACCAAAAAGTGCTCGGGAAATCGAAAATTCCAGCAAATGACTGTAACTAATTTTCTTCAGCGCAATGAGCGCATTGCTAGGGAGCGACAGTGAGAATGTGAACTGACCGATGATAGTGCAGCAGTCGTAAAAAAGTGTGAATTTTTATTTATGTAACTTTCAGAACTACCTATGTCAAAAAGGGCCTGAAAATTGGTCCCATTTATTTGTAATTCAACCACTGCTCTTGAAGGACAGTCGGGAACAGCAGCTGATGCCACGGCAGAAATGGAGGGATATATAGCGGAAGAGAAGGCTTTTCAGTTTCGTGATGCTAGACACACCTTTTAAAAATGCCCTTTTTACCGCACCCTTTGCATAACGCATCGCGTGCGGGACACATTGAACGGCGGTGCTTGTCGTATCCACAAAAGAAACATTTGCTATGGAATGAAGTAGAAGCCACTAGGTCTGGCTCTTTAACGGGACTCGGCGAAGCTTCACATGGCTCGGTAGCGGCAGAGAATGAGGTCGTCGGAGGGTTCTGATACGATAGAGACGGTCTTTCTGTCAATTCCAGTGACCTTGCCTGATCAAAGGTAGTTTGGAAGTTCAAAGTCTTCTACCCCAATAACCTCTGCCGAATCTGGTTTGATATTAGGCCACTGATAAACGCATCTCTAATGGCATCGTCGTGATTTTGTTCTGCCGTAACGGCTTTAAAATCACAGTCCTTAGCTAAGGATTTTAGCTTCTGAGCAAACTGGCCGAGGGTTGGTCCGCCCTCCTGTCTGTAGGTTGCCAGAAGATGGCGGGCGAAAAGTTCGTTTTCGGGTCTAAGGTAGAGATTTGGCAGCAATTTAACAGCTTCTTTATAACTAGAGCATTCACTAATGCAGCCCCAGATTATCGGAGAAACGTAGTTAGTCAGAACGCCTAATTTATACGGTTGGTTATCTCACCTGGAACGAAATTAACAGCCCTTCGCCTGTCGTAAACAAAGATTTACACAACTAGAAAGGCAGACGCAGGGATGACCTGTGCGTGATTGAGGCTACAATGAGAGAGGGACCTGCGGGGCATTCATCTCACTTCCTGTTCGCCCCCAATGAGAAGACAAGATTGAGACGAATGGCGACTGGCACGGACGCAGTGGTTCACATGAACCAGACTGCAGTTACCTAGGATCTTGCGTCAGTGAGAGTTGACAGACGACAGCAATTACAACCTGGCCCTTGGTTTGAAAGATCAAGTTACCCAGTCAGCGCAACGTGATAGCTCAAGTCCGAGTGAAGTTGGCTGGAGCGCGTAAAGCCGCCGTCTCCCACGTCACACACTCTTTGTGGCCTCCGCTCAGGTCTGACACAACCGGGCCAGCATGAGTGGTACAAAGCAAGTGGACATTATGCAGGCTACTACTGCCTTCTCGCGTCTTATTGGGAGAGAGGGAGACATTTTTCGCCGGATGGTATGTATTCTGTAGTATACGGACTATTCAGACGGCCTGGCTACATTGGACAGATGAATAGAGGCAACTTATGATAGATGGTTGAGAGTACAACTGCTTACTAAGGATGCTCTGTTTATTATCCAGTCTCCATACCGTCGGAACATCGGAATAGGGGGTTATGTCGACCGTCCGGAAGTTCGCCTTTCTATAATTCACCTAACGGGTATTTAAATTACCGCAGAACCCTAACGGTCGGAAATTGCAAAGTTGAGAACTGGCGAGACAAACTGCCGGCAAAAACAACTGACATGATCACGACCTACTATCGGGCCGACACTGCGCGAGTTCTCAGCCAAACTGTTCTACAAGGTTTTACCCCTCCGTCCACTCTGCCCATCTACGCCAATGACTGGATTCTCGGAAGGGCCCTACACGGTCTTGACGATGTTGAATTTGCGCCTGAGAGTTGGCTGACTGGGCTCGACTACGGCGAAGATGTTGCCCTGCTAGCCTCAGGCTTTGATGATTAACGGTCCGTGATGTAAAGAATGAATGAAACCGCCAAGTTGATCGAGTTAAACATAAACGCTGGGTAGCCTAAAGTGCTCTTGAGTTGCATCCCTGAACAGGAGAAGGCACATCTCGGAAAAATGGCCGACAACTTGAAAAAGGTAAACAGGTCAAATCACCTCGAAGCGAAGTCCGTGACAAATGGACTGAGTAAGGATAGTATCGTCTTCCGAATCGATGCTGTCTACAGTGTTTTTACAATATCCAGATAGTGTCTATAAACCCGACGTGACATCTACATTGCTACAAAGATCTGCATGTACCGCAAATCCGTCCAGTAAATTTTTCTATACGATTGTAAATTCTGGGCTGTGCGCGCGGAAGATGCACGAAAACTGGTGGTCGACAACCGATGCCTGAGGATCAACCTCTGAATGAGACACGGCGACTTTGTCTCGAATATGACAGGCCGCACTCACTGCAACAACATCGCGAGGATATCTCAGGCCATCTAGGGAGGGTGACTGGGGGATTTTGGCCCGTCTTTCGCCGCTGCCCACCTAGAGTCGTCGAAGAGAAGGTCAACTCAAGGCCTGCTTTGACATAGTTCGCCAATACATGGAAGTGGTTTTCAGGCCTTCTATACTCGGTCTCCGTCGCCGGAGGTGAGAATGAGTCGAGTTATTCATATTCGCTATCGCAGATCGTCACGTGTGGAGGGGCGCTGACTATAGCAGACGTTAACACGGCTGTACCAAAGACAATAGACAACTTGCCCTGTGACAGAGCAATCCAAACTGCGGTGGCACCTTCTCCAAGTCATGCTGATGACTGATGGCATTGGTATACTTATCTGGACGTGTAACGTCCAATTAGACTGCGTAGAAGGAACTGGATGCTATGGCAAATGCAGAGGCGCGCAAATAACCGCAAAGGCCACTACGTTAAAATTGGGCAACATGAAGAATGACGAAAGAGTGAGGATATTTGGCACAAGTCTTTCCAACTCATGTAAGCTAAAATTACTCAGGTATTCGTAGTCACCATCCGAGGCCATTTTTCAACCGAAGTGCAGCTAAATTAACACGCTTTTTAATGCATGAGAAGGAAAATAAAGTCAGTGACACAAATTAATTGGTCGTTTAAGTTAATTAAGCGAAGTTCGAAAAAAGCATAGCGCGCTCTCCTAATCCTTTATCTAACTTGAATCTCCCATGTGTCTAGAGTCAATTTTGACGAACCCAGTCGGGCGGTTTAGACGTTAGGTATTAAAACTATGTAGTGGTTAGTTGACTGCGCAAATGGCTGTACATGAAGCATCGGCCGCTTGCATGTCAACCAAGAGCAATAATTACGTCAGCTAACTCATTTAATGCCTCTCCAATGACCGCTGGTTGGAAGGGCTAGTCTAAACACATCCTCGGCCTTCACCGACCGGGGCTCGGAATCCTATAACTGCACAATCACACCCGTCGCGCATTCGGCCTTTTGTCACCAAGCAGACGCCAAAGCGGGTAACGCTGACGAGGATCCAGTGCTACTTCTACGACATTGTTGGCTAGCGTGAAAAGTTAAATTTGTTGGCCCTAACGGGGAGGCAATTTGTAATCCAGCGGAAAAATGGCACTCTGTGTGCAATCCCCGCGCACAACTGATGACTCTGAACGATAACCTCACCAAAACCTATCCTGTTTACCTTAAATCAAAGGGGGTTTAATGCTGTCCCTTAGGAATTGTAGGGCTAGTCTTTACGGGCGATGCTAGTTAGGCAGTAGACAAGCAATTTAGGGGAATGGCAATGGCAGCGATGATGACAGTTAAACAGAAGACATTGTAGAACATCAAGTCCATTTTAAGGGGCATTGAAAGGGACTGTTTAAAGATTTTCAAGAAAGTTATTAAGAAACCAGATGAACGCGGAATTTTATCTGCTACGTAACAAAATAAATAGTAACCTGACCGAAGATACTTCTTATGGATTAGCTACAGAATGATACAAGGGTTTGGTACTTAACCAGACACTGGCTGCATACAAGGGTATGATTTTGTATTGCTGTGATGAAGTTGGCTACAACCCGAAAACCAAAGTGCCGAGACTTCAGGGTGTAGGAGGAATGTGTCCCTCGTCTGCTTAAAAACGGTCGCACTAACGTTAGCTTTTTCTGCACGCCGTCTTGCAGCTTTAAGCGAGAGGAAAGTATAGACATTGTCGGTATGGAGTGCTTTTAGGTGTTTCCCCCTTTTTCCAACGTCACATCTTACTACTTTAAATATGGTGGTCGGACCTCGTCCTAAAGTTACATAATCGTTTGCATGTCCTGTAATTGGCGAAAAATTTCTTAAACCATCAAGGAGGATTAAGACCTATGAGAAACCTAGTGCCTGTCTTCCTATTTGACGAAAGAATTTAGAGAAAGTTTCAGCGAGTCCAGAATTCAACGTATTTTGGAAGGGTGCATAAATAATTCGTACTTGGCGGGGAAACACGACTAGAAATCTGCAACTTGAAGCTTCGAGATCATAGATATTAAGAAGACATTAACAAACACGCCAGAAACACTACCTAACGACTTGCTGGAAAACAATAAAATTGCAGGTGGTCCGGCTTATCACAAAATACTTCGGAGCTTACCACGTGTTTCCGGGAAGCTCTTCAATTATCAACTCCGGTTTTAGAAATTCGTCAGAGGCTACCGAGTTTTGGAACGATTTTTAAGCATAAGTATTTCTCGTGTAAGTACTCGAGTTAAACATTCAACTTTCATAGAACGACCACTTACAGTATTTACCTTACATTAAGTCCGTTCGTTACTTTCCAACGAAATCCTTAAGTTAAAAATCGTATTAATGGTCGGTATATTAATGTTTGTGTTATGTTTATGTTTGAAGTACTTTTCAGCTAATTTGTAGAAATTCGCACAGAACCCGAGAATGGTGTGCCTTGCACTTATTTCCCCAAGGTCACTAATTTTTATTAAGATCAGCGACAAAAATCACAGGGGACTAGCAGAAGTGTCAGTCTCATCTAAATTCTGGTTAGGTCACACGAATTATTTGCATTCGAAGGTGGGAACCTGATAGGGAATTACGACTAATTAGGTCATTATTTATCACAAAGTCCAGAACCAAAATAGACTGGTCGGGGAGGAGTGATTGAACAAATCTAGAGCAATGTGATAACATAAAAACACAAGCAAATGTGTCAAGGGGGAATTCGGAACAAGAAACGTTGTTAGAATACTTACATTGTGTGACAGCTGAAGCCAGAGAACAATCGAGAGCAATATAAATCCCAGAGCGATCGAAAAGAAGGCCAGACCGCAATCAGTAGGACTGGGGGCCAGGCTGAGAACGACGATATTAGCCAAAGCGGCTAATATGCCTGCAAAGGCCTACAGCAGAGGTCGTTCATCGAATCTAACAGCTCAACTCCCTGCTTACCTGACCTTCAAGAAGCGCTCGCACATTACTGGAGGGAAGGCTGGTGGCCACACCGAGAAGACTTCCTTGGGTAAGTGCGCAGCCAACTATACAAAACAGTCAAAAGCCGTTTCTCTTACCATTCATAAATATGACTGAAATAAGGGTGATCCCGAGGAACAGTTTCGCGTCTAAAAGAAGTATTCGGAGAATTACGTCACGGTACCCAAATCCAATTTTGTTAAAGCGACCGTCAGTGTGAAGACCAAAAACATCACGCAACTACCGAAACTGAAACGCATGAAGGCCGAAAACCTTGAAAAGACACTTAAAATAGAAGAGAAAGTACCATTTTTGGAGGGCGAGATTCAGGATATTGGTGGCAGTGAGGGGGAACATTGAACAAAAAGCCAGATAGTTCTCGAAATATATCTGGTCTCTGGTCATCCACTTCGGGTCCAGTACGTCGGTGTCGTTTGGAAATGATGTATTGCGTAATTGATACATAAAATACTGAACTGTCAGGCAAGACTCGTACTTACAGATTTTGCCGTGGTAAAAAAATTCCATGGTATGAGGTTGGCCAGTCCGATAAAAAAGAACGATATGTATACCAATTTCAGTCTGCAGAAAATATATCAGTTCCCGAAATGCTAACCTGTCCCTCGGAATTTCGGAAACGGCGTCAGCTTCCACACTCTCAACTACTCTTTCAGAATCCATTAGGCGAGGCGGAGGTGGGGAAGGGCCCTGCAGTAAACAGGCTTACTGGCCGGGTAAAAAGATTTCGATATGATGGAAGTCAGTTAGCAACTGGCTATGAGGGAGATAGCAAAGGCGAGAATTATGCAACGGAGAGGGGAAAAACCCAGTACGAAGAGCAGCCACAAGTCAGTACGGCGCCGGCTGCCTCTACTTTACCCTTGCCGCCCACATTTCAATCTAGTTAAAGAAGAATTCAATTTCATCACTTTCTTTTCGTTTCTTTCTACCTTTATTGGGATCGTCGAATGTTAAAAGCAGACTGGATTGAGTCTGTCTATATAGTATGCCATCAGAGACCCTTAGAAAGTTTTTCCAGCTGTGAAAATATATACCCGAATTAAAAATGAAGTCTGAAGGACGGACAGAAACACTGTTATTTTCTGAGAAAAGTTCCTTAGAAAGGGAATTCTGATGAAACCGCAAGGGAATAATAAGGACTGAGGACATAAATTTGTGCAAATTGACTCCTGAGTGTATCTAAACGCTGTATATCCATGCAAGTGTGGCAATAATGTCTGGTGATGTGTATGGTGAAGCGAAAACTTGGACAACTCATCTTTAGTGCCCTCTGGGCGCTGAAAAATCAAACAGTTGTTATAACAGAACCTGCATGTGAGAGTAGATCCAAGGATATGCTGTATTGGGCAGTACTGTAAATCATTCGACGAACATCCTACTAATAAAGGCGCTAGCGCGGAAAAGTCAAAGCCAGTCAGAAAGAGGAAGCGAGTTATGTCTCCAGAGGAAACTCTAGACAAATCAGTTCCGGTGGATAACGTGGCAGTCGACACTAATGCATTAAAAATAAGTCAGGTTCCATTACCTGCTATAGTAA